ATATTATATATATATATAATTTTTAAAGGTTAATAGAAAAACTTGTACACTAATGTTTATAGTATTGTTCATAATAGTGAAAAGACAGAAACAACCTAGATAGCTATCAGTAGATAAAAGGGTAAATAAAATATAATATATCCATACAATGTAATGTTATTCCACTATAAAAAGGAATGAAGTACTGATATATATTACAACTTGGATGAAGCTTGAATACATGATGCTAAATAAAAGAAGCCAGTCACAGAAGTCTTCATATTATATGATCCATTCCTATGCAAGTCTAGAGTAAGGAGCTGTAGGGAGACAGAAGGTAGGTTAGTGATTGATAGGACTGGGTGTACAGTGTCATAGGGTTATAGGGGATGATAGCTTAAGGACACGAGGTTTGTTTGTTTGTATGTTTGTTGAGATGATGAAATGTTCCAAAACTGACCATGGTGATAGTTGCATGTATCTGTGAATATACCTACAACCACTGAATTGTACACTGTAAATGGCTGAATTATATGGTTTGTGAATTGTTAGAGCTTCCGGTACTACTCTGGAATAATCTTCGAAGTATTTTGTTAAATAAAAAATGATCCTGATTGTGGTACATGAATGTATGAATGTGTTACAAATTCATGGAGCTGTACACCATAATAGAAAGGGGGTACTTTTTATTGTATGATAAGGCAAAAAAAAAAAAATGAATTTTAAAAAATGCAATAGAAATTGATAGAGAAGAGAGATTAATTATAACCAGAATCGGTAGTACTGGTGATGGGCATCAAGGAAATCTCCCAAGAAGGTTACCCTTGAGGGTACCTTGAAAAATGGTTTGGCTCTGGACAGATATTTAAGGAGAATTTTGATGAAGAAAGCAAAGTTATTTTAGACATTGTTAATACTGGGCAAAAGTACAGGATAGAGAATCTCTGACTGGATAGAGGATGCATTAATTATTTAGTTCTGCTGAACTAAAGGATACATAGAGGAAAGAGAATAAAGGCTGGTGGATTTCCTTGCCTGACAGGGTAAGAATTGAACACTTTATTATCTAGTCAATGAAGAGCATCAAAGGTATTTGATCACAGCTCTGCCTTGGGGATATTATTCTATCAAAAAAAAAAAAAAAACTCACTGCTGTCGAGTCAGATCTGACTCATAGATAATCCTCCTTGGGTTTCTGAGGTGGTATCTCTACAGAAGTATATTGCCCAATCTTCCTTCTGAGGAGTGGCTGGTGAGTTTGAACTGCCAGCCTTTTGGTTAGCAGTCAGATGCCTTAAGTTGAAGACTAGTTAGAAGACTGCTATTTAGTTCAACCAGGTGAGGCCTGGTTGTCATTCATATGACAGGTGGTGGAGGTCTGAGTGAAGATGGAACAGATGGTAATGATTTTGTGATATTGTCAAGAACTTGGCAGCTGACTGGAGAAGGAGAGAAAAGTTGGAAAGTTGACTCTTAGGTTTTGAGCCTAAGTGACAGGGATGATAGTAGTACTACTGAAAAACAAAAACAAAAACAAAAAAACCTCACTGCCATCGAGTCAGATCTGACTCATAGCAACCCCTCCTTGGGTTTCCCAGGTGCTATCACTACAGAAATAGATTGCCCAACCTTCCTTTTGAGGAGTGGCTGCTGGGTTTGAACTGCCAGCCTTCTGGTTAGCAGTCAGGTGCCTTAGGCACTGCGCCACCAGAGCTCCCACTATATTAAGAAAAGGAAGGGGGGAACAAAAGGAGAAAAGGAAAGAAAACCAGAGTTGTTTTGGGAGGAAAGTGAATGAGTGTAGTTTGGAGTTTGTTTAGCTTGAGGAGCTAGAAGCTCCTTTATTTAAAGGAGTTCTAAATAAGAGATACAGTGGCTGGTAGAGAGGAAAGCCATGTAGTATAGCAAAAAGAGTACTGGACCGAGCCATCAAGAAACCATACCTGGCTTTCCCAATAACTAGCTCAACTTCTCTTGGCCTATTTCTTCATCTATAAAATGGGAGACTTGGATTAGAAAGGCAGTATTATATAGTGGTTGAAAGCAAAGGTTTTACGGCCAAACTTGCCTGGGTCCTGCTACTCACTAGCCTTTTATCCTTGGATATATTATTTATTTTCTCTAGGCCTCAGTTTTTGTAAAATGGGAATAATAATTATATACTTACCTAATATGGTTACTGTGAGGAATATGTAAACACACACATACAAATCTCATGTAAATCTTACTTATATGAATCTTATTTATATTTATATGTACCTGGTACACAGTAAGCTTATTACTATATAGATGACGTTCCTTTCAAATCTGATGATCCACTGTTATGTGGTCAGTTTCTGTGAGACTGGCATTCTATGGCAGAGGTCAGGGCCAGGGATATAAGTTAATAATTTATTTTCTAAGGTATTGTTGAATAGATGAGATGAAATAGTGAAGGAGAAAATGAATAGAACATATGAATGGCAAGGACCAAATGTTAATGAGCACTTATATTTGGGAGCAAGAGTCAGGAGCCTATAGGATGGGCTAATGAAGGAACATTCAGAGAAAGAGAAGAAAAATCAGGCGATACACTCATGAAAGCCACTGTAAAAGAAAAGATGAGATCAAGGGACAATTGTCTTTTACAGTAGAGACCACTGTAGCTAAGTTTAAAGGTTTATGTGAAGTATCTAATGGATAGAAAGAAGTTGAAGATAAAAGCGAAGGAAATGAAGTTGAAGATAAAAGCGAAGGAAATGAATTGATAGAGTATGGTTCAAGTAGCATGTTAGCCTCAAGAAGAAGGAACATCGTTTCTTTCTTTGAATTGGGATCAAAGAAGGGAGTAATATGTGGTAATGCTATCAAATTTTGAATTGGGAAATTTGGAAACTTAGTAACTCATGTTAAATGTCTTCAAAGATTTTTAGGTAGAATAGCAAGCAAGGTCATCTGTAGCAAAGAGGAAGGTAGAAAACAGTATTGAAGTGTTCCTGAAGAGCTTTACATGTTTTCTCTAATTCTGCGCTTTGTGTGAATGAGAAACAAGTAGTTACTGAGTTTTTACTATCTGCTCGGTATCAAGCTAAAAGCTTGTTTCAAACTTCAAACATCCCTAAGAGGCAAGTAATATTACCCAACGATTACAGAGGATAGTACGTGAACAGAAGAAGGATAGAAAATTGCTTCATTACCCAGCTAATAAGAGGTGAAACCAAGATTGAAAACCAGATCTGCCTAACTCTAAGCTCTTAATAATCATGCTTTCTGACATTTCATTTTGAAATTGTACTAAATCACTGAAATGTTGATTCAGGAATATACATGAATTAATGGGACAGAATATAAAGTATAGAAAAATAGCGCTTATATACAGTGAAATTTAATTTTAATGAAGTTAACATTTTAAATGAGAAAAGGGTAGATTGTTTGATAAATGTGTTGAGGCAGTTAACTATCCATTTGAAAAAACATTTATTTTGACCCCAAGTTTTAAAATATACATAATAGAAATCAGAATAGTGGTTTTCTATTTTGGGGTAGAGGCTTCAGTTAGGAACTAGGAGAACTTTCCGGAATAATGTTCTATAATTTATTGGAATGTTGTTTATCAGTTTTCCTTTATTTATTAAAGTTCATCAAATTGTATGTCTAAAATCAGTATATTCTACCATGTGTAAATATCTTAATGAAAAGAAAAATATATATATATATCTCTGAGACATTGTTAAATGAAAATAAAGTGTGCTGTAGAATGAAACATAAAATACAATGCTATTTGCATAAAGGAAAAGAAATAATTACCACCAAACAAAATTACTTACTTCTTTGGATCCATATAAGGAGCTCTGGTGGTGCAGTGCCTAAGGCATTAGACTGCTAACCAGAAGGCTGAAGGTTCAAAACCACCAGCTACTCTGTGGAAGGAAGACCAGGCAATCTACTTCCGTGCCTCGGAAACCCAGTGGGGGTTGCTATGAGTTGCAATTGACTCTTTGTCAGTGGGTGGGTTTGGTTTTGGTTTTGGTTTTGGATCCATATATTTGTAAATGTGCCATAGTCCTTTGGTCCTTCGGCCCTGTTCCTTTGTATCAATCCAGTATGCTTTTAGGGTTTCTTTCTAGCATATAAAGAATAATAAGCATTTATATTAGAACATCATTAGCATGTCATTTTCCCCACTGATTATGATTCAGTGATACGATATTCACAAGTGATATGATATTCACAAGTGAAGAAGATACTCACTTTCCGTGAATTCTAACTTTTTAGAAAAAGGTTATTTTTCTTTTTGCTTAGTGATTTTGAAATTAGTATATTTTAAAAGGCAGCCTCGTATAAAGGAACGCTTATTGAACTAGAAGTGCTCAGGAGATCTGAGGCTTGTTCTGACTCTGCCACTGATCGGATGGGTAATTTGGAGCAAGTTATTTTAATTTCTGTAGGCCTCTGTTTCATTGTTGGCTAAATAAATGGATTGATAATTGAGGGTCCCTCTAGGAGGTCTGGTGGCATAATGCCTAAGGCATTTGACTGCTAACCAGAAAGCTGGTGGTTCAAACCCACAAGCCACTCCTCAGAAGGAAGACTGGCAATCTAGTTCTGTGGAGATATCGCCTCAGAAACCCAGAGGGGGGTTGAAATCAACTTAACAGCAGTAAGTTTGTTTTTTGGTTTTTGGTTTTTTTTTTTTGTTTTCTAGGTCTAAGATTCAATGAACACTGTTAATTCACATAGATCTTAAGTGAAATAGGTCACTCTTCCCATCAAAAAAACCAATCTCACTGCCATGGGGTTGATTCCAACTCATAGTGACCCTATACGACAGAGCAGAACTGCCTCATCTTTCTCCCAGAGTGGCTGGTGGATTTGAATCACCAACACTAACCGCAGCACCACAAGAGCTCCTCAAACCACCTTAGATACATGGAAAAGACCATCTGAAAGGATCTGAATTTAAAATTTTAGTTTAAGCTCAGTAACTTAAAGTTGTTTTTTCTTTTTTTTTTTTTTCTTTTTGCTTTCATGTTTTGAAACAGGTGACAAGTAAAGCTAAGCAACTGAAGGACTCAGTTACCTGCTCCCCAGGTGAGTTAGCACCCACCTTAATACACTGATCTAAAGCAGTTCCTTAAATAGAAATACCTTTTTACAATAACTACTTTAATTGCAATGGTGTATTGGTTTTCTCCAATGAATTATTCTGGTAATATCCCTAAAAGGCATTGCATTACAACAACTAAGGGAATCCAGCTCTACACATGCCACAAGTGCCACAAGGATGTATCTAATGAGCTTAATTAACTATAAGAAAAACCTAAATGTCCACCAGCAGATGTATGGATAAACAAACTAGTAAATACATACAATGGAATACTACACAGTGATAAAGAATAATGATGAGTCCATGAAACATCTCACAACATGGATGAATCTGGAAGACATACTGAGTGAAATAAGTCAATCACAAAAGACAAATATTGTATGAAATGACTGTTATAAAAAGTCAAGAATAGGTTTACACACAGAAAAAAGTATTCTTTGATGGTTAGCAGGGGTGGCAGGGGAGAGAGAGAGGCAATCTCTGACTAGATAATAGACAAGTGCTAATTCTGGTGAAGGGAAGAACAGTACACAATATAGGGGAAGTTGAAACAGGTAAAGGAAGACAATGAGACATATGCAAGAATAAAGGGCAATTTTAGTAAATGCTGTATATAATACTGCAACAACTACCCAAAGTAATCTACAGATACAATGCAATCTCGATCCACATTCCATCATCTTTCTTTAAAGAGATGGAAAACCTAATCACAGACTTTACATGGTGTGGTGGTTATGTTTGTGTGTCAACTTGTTTGAGCCTGGTTGAGTGGCTGGGCAGCTGAGACTGGCAATCAACTCCATGGTGGGATCTACCACAAGCAGCTGAGCAGCTGCTTTGGGTATGTGGTTTGCTTCCCATATATAAGAAGCAGTTTTGGAATGGTCTCTAGATTATGGCACGCTTGGACCCTGTATGTAGCTGTGTCATTGTTCAGCAGCCTGCCATGCTCTGCTGACCTTGGGACTTACAGTGGACTTGAGTTAATGGCCTGCTGTATGGTTTGGTAACATTGGGACTGTGCCTTTCTAGTTGTCAACCTTGGGTTTGGCAGCCTTAGCAGCCAGCAGCTGTCTGAGTGAAGAAGAGCCTCTAGCCTCAGTGGGCCAGGAGCAGGAGGCAGAGCTGAAGCCAAGGCTGAGGGGCTTTCACCCAGCCCCTAGATCCTGGCACTTTGAACTTGGACTTAAAGCCTCCAAACTGTGAGAGAATGAACTCCTGTTTGTTAAGGCCATCCCATTTGTGGTATATTCCTGTCAGAGCAGCACTAGGTAACCAGAACATAAAGGGAAGAGACCCCAGATAAGTAAAGTACTACTAAAGAAGAAGAAATAGAGGAAAAATTATCAAGGATTTCATTTTATTTGGATCCACAGTCAACAGCCATAAAAGCAGCAGGCAGAAAATCAAATGTCATACTGCACTGGGCAAATCTGCTGCAAAAGACCTTTTTAAAGTGTTAAAGAGCAAAGATGTAACTTGGAAGACATGGGTGTGCCCAACCCAAGCCAAGGTATTTTTCAGTCACTTCATATGCATGTGAAATCTGGACAGTGAATAACGAAGACTGAAGAAGAGCTGATGCCTTTGAATTGTGGTGGTGGCAAGGAATACTGAAAATATTGTGGACTGCCAGAAGAAGGAACAAATCTATCCTGAAAGAAGTACAAGGAAGCTCCTTGTAAGCAAGAATGCCCAGACTTCGTCTCACCTACTTTGATCATGTTGTCAGATGGGACCAATTTCTGCAGAAGGATATCATGGTTGGTAAAGTACAGGGTCAGTGAAAAAGAGGAAGACCCTCAGTGAGATGGACTGACCCAGTGGCTGCAACGATGGGCTCAGGTATAGCAAGGATTGTGAGGCTGGTGCTGGACCAGGCAGTGTTTTGTTCTGTTGTGCGTGGGGTCGCTGTGAGTCGGAGCCAATTCAATGGCACCTAACAACAACAAAGTAGGAGACCTCACACTCCCTAATCTTAAAACCTGCAATAACTGCCACAGTAGTTAAAACAGCCTCCTACTGGTACAATGGCAGACACACAGACCGATGGAACAGAATTGAGAACCCAGAAGTAAATCCATCCACCTATGGAGAGCTGGTCTTTGACAAAGGGCCAAAACTCATTAACTGAGGAAGAGAGAGTCTCTTCCATATACAGTGCTGGTGAACCTTGATATCAATTTGCAGAAAAATGAAATGAGACCCATATCTCACACCATATACAAAGACAAACTCAAGTTGGATCCAAGACCTGACATAAAACCTAAAACCATAAAGATCAACAAAGGAAAAACAAGAACATACTTAGTGGCCCTAATTCAGAGCATAAGTACACTACTGGGTATAACTAAAAAAGCACAAACACCAGAAGACAAAACAGATGGATGAGACCTCCTAAAATAAGACACACATATCAAAAGATTTCACCAAAGTAGTGAAAAGAGAACCCACAGACTGGGAAAAAAATTTAGGCAATGACATATTGGACAAGGGCTAATCTTTAAAATTTATAGAAAACTTCAACAACCTAAACAAAAAGACAAATAATCCACTTAAAAAGTTGAGTACATGAACCAACATTTCATCAAAGAAGACATTCGGGTAGCTAACAAACGCATGAAGAAATGCTCACACTTACTAGCTATTAGAGAGAGGCACATCAGAACAAAGAGTTAATCATCTTACCCCAGCACTAATGTTGTTGTTGTGGTTATGTACCGTGGAGTCAGACCTGATGCATAATGACCCTTCTTTGGGTTGCCGAGGCAGTATCCCTATAGAAGTATATTGCCCATCCCTTCCTTCCAAGGAGTGGCGGGTGGGTTTGAACCACCAGCTTCTGGTTAGCAGTCAAGTGCCTTATGCACTACACTACCAGAGTTCCTCCAGCACTAATAGCAAAGTTCAAAAAAGCAGAAAACAGGAATGCTGGCAAGGGTGTGGAGAGACTGAAACCCTCATACACTGCTGGTAAAGTGTAGCACTGTGGAAAACTGGTGCTTCCTTAAAAAGCAGGAAATAGAAATACCACATGATCTACTAATCTCACTATTAGGTGTATATGCTAGAGAAATAAAAGCTGTCACACAAAGATATATGCATACCCATGTTCACCACAGCATTAGTCACGATAGCAAAAAGATGTAAAAAACCTAAATGCCCATCAATGAAGGAATAGATCAACAAACTATGGTACATGCAAACAATGGAATACTATGCAATGTTAAAGAACAATGATGAATCTTTGAAACATCTCAGAACATGGATAAACTTAGAGGCCATTTATGCTGAGTGAAATTAGTCAGTCACAAAAGGACAAATATTGTATGAGACCATTATCGTGAAAAGTCAAGAAAAGGATTTCACAAAGAAATATTCTTTGATGGTTACCATGGGTGAGTGGGAAAGGAGGATAAACCGCAACTAGAGGAGAGTAAATATTAACTGGGGTAAAGGGAAAGATTTTGAAAAAAAAAAATGAATACTATTTATATGAAAAAGTAGCAACAATATAAAATAGTTAACTTAGTTTAATAATGAGCTACATCTCTGAATATGTTTTAGAAAGAATTTACACATACAAAAGAAATACTACAATAACAGTAATAAACAATCATTTGTGAGTAGATAATACATATAGGTGAGGGAGGTTGTATGGGAGTATACTTGTGTACATATATTGGTATGATTGTGAATGTTTCTACATAAGTATTTATAAATGTTGAATGCATGCTCATGTATATAATGGAGCACACAGGTGTCACATTTACAGAAACTACTCAGGCAGTAGGACTGAACTACTGCACTTGAAGGCTCAGGACCATAGGCTCAGGGGACATGTAGGTCAAGTGGCAAAGCACAGTTTATAAAATATAAAATAATGTTCAACATCCTAGTCTGATGAATAGCTTCAGGGTTCTTAAAAGCTTGAGAGTAGCCCCCTAAGAAGCAACTATTGGTCTCTTCCCACCTGAAGCAAAGGAGAATGAAAAAAACTGAAAACTCAAAGAAGTAATTCATCCAAAGGACTAATAGTCCACAGGAACCATAGCCTCCTGCAAACCTGAGACCAGAAGAACTTGGTGCCAGGCTACCACTGCCATCCATGCTGACCGGGTCCACAGTAAAAGGTCCTGATAAGAGTGGGTGAAAATGTAGAACAAAATTCAAATTTTTTTAAAAAAAAAAAAAGACTAGAATTACTAGTCTCAAATAGACTTCAGGAACCCCAAAGAATATAACCCTCAGATCATCTTCTAACTTGAAGCTCAAGACACTCTCAGAGGCCACCTCTCAGCCAAATAATAGACAAGTCTTTAAACAATAGTACCAGTGAAGAGTGTGCTGTTCAAGCAGTCAACTATATGAAACCAAAAGGGCAACATTTGCCCAGAACCAAAGAAGAGAAGGCAGGCAGGGACAGGGAAACCAGATGATAGAAACAGGAGCACAGTGTGGAGAGTGCTGGCACTTTGTGGGGATTGCAACTAGTGTCACAGAACAATGTGTATATGAATTGTTGATTGAAAAACTAATTTTCTATGTACATTTTCACCTAAAGCATAGTAAAATGTTCAACAACAACAACAACAACAAAAAAACACTTTGGTATTTCATTTCCTCCAGGAATAACTGAAATTTCATTGGCATCTCCATACTCTTAGATTGCTATCATGAAGTAAGGAAATGCCTCCCAAACCTTCCCACCTAACTCAAATACAAGTCCCAGGGAGAGAATGCAGATGAACAGCCAGGAAACAGGCCAGCAAACCCTGAGATCTCAAAAAGCCATCCCTAGAATGGGTTCCACTCCGAGTACTCCAGCTGTGGGCGGTAGAACATTCCCAGATTCCTTTACTACGAATAGTTATTTGTCTGGCCGTGGAGGCAACATGGAGATATTATGTGAAAGAAAGAAACTACCTCCAAGACATTCTCCAAAAATGCATTCTTGAAAAGGTTTAGAGTAAGGAACAGACATTTATCTCATTAAAGCATTGGTGGGGATAGGAAAAAGTGTTGTGAAGAGAACAGGAAATAGGTAGTTTAACATGTAAGAATATCTCTGAGGTGACACTTGTGACTTGGAAGGAGGTATGTTTGCCCTTTACTGTGAAACGGGGCATCACGGTGGCAGTGGCAGCAACTTCAAGCAGAGAGTAGACCCCACAGTGTTGATGACTCATTTACAGATGAAGCTGAAAAAAGCAAAACTGGTCTGTATTTGGCCACATCCAAAGTCTTCAGCTCTCTCCAGTACATCTAGGTCTATATATATAGGAGCTCTGGTAGTGTAGTGCCTAAGGCACTTGACTACTAACCAGAATGCTGGTGGTTCAAACCCACCAGCCACTCTTCAGAAGGCAAACTGGGCAATCTACTTTCATAGACATACCGCCTTGGAAACCCAAGGAGGGGTTGTTAAGAGTCTGGTCTGACTTGAGGGCAAACAACAACAATAACATATATATATATATATATATATATATATATATATATATATAGCTATGCTACCACAAAACAGTAATTTTTTTACTCCATATACTCATCTATGTCATCATTCTAACGTCTGCAAGTTGTTGGTGTTGTGTGCCATCTAGTCAGTGCTGACTCATAGCGAGCCTATGGGGCAGGGCAGAACTGCCCTATAGGGTTTCTTAAGGTGCAGTCTTTACAGGAGTAGATCACCATGTCTTCTCTTTCACAGAGTGGCTGGTGGGTTCAAACCACCAACCTTTGGGTTAGCAGGCAAGTGCTTGATCATTGCACCATCAGAGCTCTTTGTAACACCCTGTAATATAGAGGCCCCTTAGTTTATTTGCAACAGTGGACTTGAACATGCCAGCAATTATGAGGATAAAGTAGAACTGGACAGCATTTCATTCTGTTGTACATTAGATTGCCATGAGTCAGACAAAGTCAACTTAATGGCAGATACCTATTTATCTATTAGTCTTACAAATCCCTATTGTTGGACATTTTGGTTGTTTTAATTTTTTTTATTGTTATGAAGCAGTGGTTCCACAGTGGGGTGCGCAGGATGATCCTTTAGAATATAGGAAGACTATATTAGGACTAATACTGTTTTGTTTTTTAATCTTTAAATAATGAGAAAGGAATTACACTTTCTAATATTTAATAAACATTTCTGGCAACACCCTCTTCATGCCCATGCATCACAGGGCTATGTGTTCCATGTGGCACCCAGGGCTTCCTGAGGGCACAGCAGGATTCTACAAGGCTGACAGATTGGCAGTGGCCTGTCACTCATTCTTTCACTTTCAGCATAGTGCAGCAGAATGCCCAGTTGCATGGATTTAGTGATAACCTTCAAGTTGCAGTGACACTGTCTAATAAGATGGAGAGTAACCAGGAGAATGTTTTATGTTATACAGAGGCTTCTTGGTATTTTGACAAAGTACTTAAAAGAGTCATTTAATTTCAAAATCATTGTTAGCATGTTTCTTCCAAAAAACAGTTCCAAACTTGATAGCAGATATTAAAAACAAAATCTGTGTTTTCAAAATATAGATGACATCTTCACAATGAATGTGAAGCACCTGTTTTTAAAAGATACTTATGTGATAGAACAACATTTTCAAAAGAGATGTTTGAAAGTATTTTCTATTATGAAGTGTTATTTTTGTGGCTAACATAACACAAACTTATTTCTGAAGATTTAAAAATTTTGAAAATAACCTTTTAACCTGTTTAAACATCTTTCAAACAAAATGAAAATTGTTAAAATATAAGTGTTAACATCTTCCACTTAGTTTGCAAGAATAACTGATTGGTTAAGAGATTTTTATGAAAACTGTTTGTAATTGGTGGTGGTGGAGGTGGTGGTTGTGTGCTGTCGAGTCGGACCCGACTTATAGTGACCCTTCCTTGGGTTTCCAGGGCGCTATCATTATGGAAGTAGATTGCCCAGCCTTTCTTCCGAGGAGTGGCTGGTGGGTTTGAACCCCCAGCCTTCTGGTTAGCAGTCAATTGCCTTAGGCATATCAAAGTCTAGTGAGCACAGTCAACGGGGCACTATATGTGGATATATCTGTCTTTATAAGGTAGCTTTTCAGCTGTGATGGCCATTAAAAATTAAGGGCCAGAATAATCATATGAGCTGAACATTTACATTAGCTAGATACACTCCTTGGAGAGATCAATCATGGGAGAATAGAAGGGCTGTGTATGCACAGGGAGACAGCTCGGGCAGCAGTGCATGAGAGGAAAGGACACAGGGAAGAGGAAACTATGGAGAGGAAGTGGGAGGGGAGCTGTTGCATTGTGGGAAATTGTAGTCAATGTCATGAGACTAAGTGTATGTGAACTGCTGTATGTAAAGTGAGTTTGCTTTGTAAACTTTCATTCAAATCACAATACAAAATAAAAAAATTAAGGGTCAGAATAAACTTGACTTTTGACCTGGCCCTTTAATTCAGTGTTTCAACCAGTATTAAACAATACTGAAGTATTTTCAGTCTCATTGTTTTTAATATTACTGTTACTGATATTTTTATGAGAATAACAATGTTTTATTTCCTTTACCAAGTAGAACAAAATTATTTTTTAGGATATTGAGTTGATTTTGAATATCTTTTTTATATGTGTTTTATAATTAAATAATATATTAGCAGAGTGGTACTTGGTTATAATTCATAAATAAGTATATATACAGAGAGTTGTATAATCAAAAAAGTGTGGAGATCATGCTTATAAAAATGCTCCTTATTTGTAATAGCAGAAGACTAGGAACAACCTAAATAACCAATTGTAAGGGGCTAAATAAGCTATGCTATGTCCACTCAATGGATTATTATACAGCCACTAAAGAGAATGTGAATCTGCATGTGCTAAAACAGAATAGATTCCAAATAGTGTCCTCCCAGTAATATAAAAAAAGGGAGGAAAATACTCTATATTTCTAGAAGTAAACACACATAGACACTGCGATTCATTCTTGCTTCTGAGGAAGGGCACTGGGAACCCAGACTGAGAGGGCTTTATATGTTATATATGTTTCATTATATTCCATTTGTAATCTTAATTCTTTATCGTGTGCAGGATTTAATTTTTATAAAGCTAGTAAAAAAGGAGAAAACATCACTTAAAAAATTAAGAGCTAAGACTCAATAGGTAAATCTTAGCATAGATCTGTAATTATTTCCTTAGGATAACTTCTGTCTGCTATAACATAAATACAGGTGTGTGGCTTTAAACAACAGAAATTTAATTTCTCAATTCTGGAGGCTAAAGGTCGAACTCAGGGTCTTGACTCTGTCCGTAGCCCTGAATATTCTTTGGTAATCCTCATATGGCATCTGTCTAATACCTTCCCCCTTCCCCACCCCTTTTAGATTTTGTGTCTAATATGCTCTTTTTATAACTCAGATGTGATTAGGGTTAAGACACACCCTGCATTGTTGTTGTTGTTGTTTGCCATAGAGTTGGACCCCTCCTTGGGTTTCCAAGGCAGTATCACTACGTAAGTAGATTGCCCCATCTTCCTTCCAGGGAGTGGCTGGTGAGTTTGAACCGCCAGGCTCCTGGTTAGCAGTCAAGTGCCTTAGGCACTATGCTACCAAAGCTCCCACACCCTGCATTAGTATGGCCTTATTAACATAGCAAAAAGAAAGCTCTATTTCCAAAAAGGGTTGCCTCCATAGGTACAGTGGTCAGGATTCCAACATATATTTTGGGGAGAACAAGTTCAATCCCTAACAACCTTCTGTAAGTAGAATTCTAGAATCACAGGTAAATAGTTTTAAGGTCTTACCTACATTTGACAGATTGTCCTCCAGAATGGCTAGACCTGTGCTGTACAATATAGTAGCCACTAACCACTTATAGCTATTTAAAGTCAAATTTAATTTTAAAGTAATTAAATTTAAATAAAGATTTGAGTTCCTCGATGGTGTTTCAGCTGCTTACTAGCATCACAGAGCATTTGACTGGACCAGGGTCTGTCCCCCCTACCCATGCATGCATCTCCCCCTCCCTCTGCATCTTGCTGCTCAGTACTGGGTATTGCTGTACTTTCTAACTTTTGCCAACTTAATAATCAAAAATGGATAATTCATTGCTTTAATTTGCATTTTTTTCTAATATTTATTAACTATTTGTATTTCTTCCCTTTGGAATTGTCTGTGTTCTTTGTCCTCTTATTGATGACAGAGGATATTAATGTTATCTGTCTTATGAAAAGGTTTAAACATTTTAACAAAATTTTCCTTTTCACATTTAAAGATTCTTGTAATTGCTACTAGTATGATTTACTTGTACATCTGCCTGCCGAAGGCAGTGTAGTAAGTTCACATTGACAGCTTTATTTTCATTGGGTGGTCTACTCCCGTAGTGATACCGCCTCAGGAGCCCCAGGAGGGATTGCTGTGAGTCAGATCTGACTCAACTGCACTGAGTTTGGTTTTTTGGTTTTTTTTGTTTTGGTAATGGAATAATAACAACTCTGGATTGTGAAGAGATTCTTCCTTACCTAATAAGTAGCAGGTTATTTCTTCTTAAAAAGATCTTTGAAAAAAAAAAAAACTTTGCATTATTCTTTGATCACAACATGATTCTGTGTATACCCATTATTCCTGGAGTAGTGAAAAAGACAATGACTTACAATCAGACAGAACTCAGTTCAAATTCCAAATCTGCTGCATGCTGAGACTTAACTTTCCTCATCTGCAAAGTTAGAGTAATGTTAACCTGTCTTTCTAGAATAGTCTACAAATTAAGTAAGTTATGCAAAATGCCTAGCACACGATCTGATGTGTGGTAGACAGCTGCTATTATTGTCACTTGAATTAACCATCTATGTGGTGTGATCCTTTTCCATAGGAATGGTTAGACTTGCTGAGCTCAAGTCAACAACTCAGAATTCCAAACCCATGAAGACCTCCACAGCCTTGCCAGATGACATCATCACCCAGCGAGAAGATGCAGAGGGAAGAGTGGAGGAAGAGGAGCAGGAGGAACTGGAGGAGGGTGCAGGAGATCAGAATGGAGCTGGAATCACAGAGAGTCGGTCTCGGAGGCGGAAGCCAGCCAGATTGCTTGAGACAATAACAAAGGTGGAGCCAGAGGAGAAGTTCAGAGCAAAGAGGCAGAAGGACTTTGATTTGTCAGAACAAAATGAATCCAGTGATGAAGAGAACCAGAAAAAAGAGAGAACTCGTGCTGCAGAGGAGCCATGGTCTCAGAATCAACAGAAACTCCTGGAATTAGCATTACAGCAGTATCCAAAGGGATCCTCTGACCGCTGGGACAAAATAGCCAAATGTGTCCCATCTAAGAGTAAGGTGGGTAAAGAGGAAAGAGAAAGTGGCCCCTGCACAGGTTTTAGAATACCATGGAAGTGGCTGCAGCCAGTGCTACCTAGTTTTCCTTTCATCTTATTTGTATTTTTCTATCTAATCTTTCTACGTGATCTCCTACCAGTTCCCTTCCAGTATGTTTCTCCTTTCAGCATGTGATTCTGTGCTCTGAGTAGATTAATGCAAGTGCTTATATAATTAGTCATTGTACAGACCTCTTAGTTCTTCTCAGAGATAATTCTACTTGTAGAACACAGACTTCACCCTCAGCAACTCAGCCAGCCTTGTGGAGGCACTTGGGGTGGCCATCGGAGAGAGGCCTGGGCACAAGCATGATTCAGCAGCATGATCACCAGGAGAGGCAGCGTGGGTCACCTCGGTCATCAGGGCCTCTAACATAGGGAGGCTCCCTTTATCCATAGTGGGGAGATTTTTCATAAAATCATAAGCCCCTGTAGCTTAGTAGGAGCTCTGGTGGCATAGTGCCTAAGGCATCTGACTGCTAACCAGAAGGCTGGCAGTTCAAACCGACCACCCACTCCTCAGAAGGAAGATTGGGCAGTCTACTTCCATAGTGATACCACCTCAGAAACCCAAGGAGGGGTCGCTGTGAGTTGAAACTGACTGGACGGCAGTGCGTTTGGTTTCTTGGTTCGTAGCTTAGTAACAACCAGTCTCACTGAGGAGCTCTGTGTGGTTGAGGATGTTATCATGATGGTCCCCAGTTCTGTGGTGTACGTTCATTTTCTCTCCAAGACAACACTTAGTTGATCAGAGGCTCCGGGACCGTGTTCTTTTATGTGGGGTCATGTGAGATTGACATTTAGGATTCTGCTTACCCTCTGTAACCTTGGCTGTTTATAATTGGCTTTTCTCCATGTTTCTCTCTCTTAGTATCTGTTAAAATACATATTCAGCTAGTTTTCAAATAAAATCCAAGAGGAGTGAAGATGGGTGTGCCCTGTGGAAGGCCCGCCCCCACCTCTGGTCTCCGCCTTGTGATCTAGTATTTTGGAGCTGTAGAGCTCCAGGAGTGATCTTTTCAACTTCGACCTTTTGGCACACAGTCTCAGGGGGCCTTTTTCCTTGTAGTGGTGCTCTTAGTCTGAGGCACCAGGGACACTCTGATAAATCAAAAGAACCAATCCTTCCTGGCGGCTCTGCCTGTCACTCTAGCCTCTGAGCACATTGATGTTCATTTACTTTTTTTTTATTGAAATTCTGTGTTGGAAAATGGAGCCCGTGGCCATGCATGTCCCTGCGTGTACAGGTCTAGTTATCCATCACCTACTTTAAAATGATGACGTTCAGAGTTTCCTCAGGAGAAAAATAAACCACTAGCAGTTGATCTATTGGAAGCAGAGATTTGCTCAGCCTCTCCAACTGGAGTGCCAGAAGTCCTTACTTCCCCCAGATTCCTCCGGCGTCTGTCAGGACCCGGCGTTTCCATGTGTGATGAATTGACATTGGCTTAAACTGAGGGAACTGGAACTGTGGATTCCCGAGGATAGAACACCCAGAAACTCATCGCCTTGGGGTTTGAGAACCTTCCTGTTTTCAGCTAGAAAGTAGAAAGGCTTTCATTATTCCGCAGGTGTTCCCCTTAAGCCTTGGCTTTGGAACCAGGTCCAGCAGAGGCTGCCTGCTGGCTCACCTGCCATGGGGCCAGGCTAACAGGGGAGCCTTCGCCTGAGGAGCAGGGCATTCCCTTGCAGGCCTGTTGTTGAGAGCTGGGCCAGCACGGTGTCCCTCCAGGTGGACGGCTGTGCTCTCCTTCGTGTCCTGTGCAGTTAGGTAGTGGTAGCACACCTGTTACAGAAAGGCCTTGATTTATATTTATATTTTTAAATTAGTGCCACATACAGAAAAGGCATCTGTTAGGAGATACTGTCTCATAGTACTAAGGTAAAATCCGGGAAAGAGAAGGAATATCCGTTCTCTATCCAAGGCAGCTGATAAAGTCATCTGCCAGAACTCAGTTTGCACTAGGTCTTATTTATTTGTTTATTTAGATTTTTATCGTAATTTGGGTGGAAGTTTACAGAGCAAATTCATTTTCCATATAGCTTTTCATATACATTTTGTTTCATGACATTGACTGCAATTCCCCACAGTGTAACTGCTCTCTTCCCTTCCTCCTCGTAGTCCTCCCCATAGTTCCCTGTGTTTTTCCCTCCCATGCACTCCCGCCCCCCAAGCTATCTCCCTGAGTTTGTACCAGGTTTAGTGAAGGCTTGTTTTTTTGTTGTTGTGTTTTGTTGTTGTTGTTGTTAATAGAAGCAGAATGGGTTTTGGAAAATATCTTGTGATAAACCATGAGTGTAGTGAGGCCCAACCCCTCCTCACTGTCATCCCATCTCTGCTACAGTAATGATTCACACCCTAAGGGGTGACAGCTACAGCTATCATCAGGATCCCTGACGAGGTAGGAAGGAGTCCCATGGTATCATCTGGGAGAGCAGAGCAGAGTCCCAGCACACTCTATGCCAGTGTCCTGTGGGGGCTGGGCTGTCATGACCCCACAAGAAGGTCTCAGCAGCTCCTTAGGGAAAGGCAACCCAGAATGATACTGATGATATTATGGTGCCAGGCCTCAAGAATTTTGGTTTCTCCTAAACGACAAAGTAAAAGGTTAAAATTATATTTAACAAATTGACATTCATAATCACAATGTGATATTCCTCACACACAGCTACTCTGGGTCCCTCACCCCCTTGATTAGCAACCCCTCCTTTGGGCAGGAGTTTCAAGAGTGGAGACAGACAGGCCTCCTTGTACCTGTCTCGCCAGGTCTGCCAACCGGACTGTCCTAGAAAAGACAGGTTCTGGGACAGAGCCAGCATTCAGAGTAAATGGACACAGACTCCTACATTAGCATGGGGCCCAAGTTCACAAACTGGCCATACAGTAGGCTTATTGCAAGAAGCAGCTGATATGTAAACTCAAACTGACTTGTAGAGTCATTGTTTTCACCTCTCTTTTTTCCTTCCTACAGGAGGACTGTATCGCTAGATACAAGTTGCTGGTTGAACTGGTCCAAAAGAAAAAACAAGCTAAAAGCTGAATATTCTGAAAGATGCTGTTCACTTTCATTTTCCAAAATGAGTATTTTTAGGATCTTATGCAGAAATTTGCATTTTGTACCTCAGTATTTCTATACGTCCTGTGCCTTAGTAAAATAAATAAATAAATAATAAATGTTGTGTTATGTTGCTGAAACCAACACTGCGTTAAGGAGGGAAGCAAGCAATTTGGGCATTTTGCAGATTATTTTATGACTCATCCCTGCAAAGTTCACGTTCCTGGAGAACAAATTGAATAGAGCTTTCTAACAATCAGGCAAATACATGTTTTTGAAGTGAGTGAAGCATGAGTGAGCTAATGTGTAAGAATTAAAACTTTTGAAAGAAAACCATGACCAAAGAACACATCAGTTAACATCTCTTGGGAGTCAAGTAGCTGGACAAAGTTACTTGGGGAGGATAAAAACTGGGTTGATACTCAGGTAGCTGGCTAAGTACAGTGTGAGGTTATCTTACCAGTTTTATGTATCTAAAAAAATTAGACTGCATGAACAAGAACAAGGTGACAACAGACTTTTAAGCTTGGTTGCTCAGTATAAATGAGTCCCTAACTGATAGAATTTCCAGGAAACGTAAAGTTTTTAAGAATTAATTAAATTGGGTCTTTTAATACCTAAGTTAAATTCACTATTTTGAACTGTTTATTTCTATTAAACTGTTTCTTACTGTTTTTGAACTGTCATTTTCACCTGGGCATTCCTTTTTAAATCTCTGTCATTTGTTGAGAGCTTAGAAATTTTTGATAAGTGCAAACTGCCTGAACTTGGAAAACGTTAAGACAACCAGAACACATTTAGTGGAAGGGATTTGATAAAATATCTGTAGAGATGTATTTTCTCTAAGGATTGAAATGAGGTTACAGTTTCCTGGGGAAGAGTCTGAGTGGCAGAAGTCACCGCGCATCTCTGTAATCTTCTCATCTATAAAGGAGGACAGTGAACTAAGTGAGCCCTGAGACTAGTCCCAGGAATTTGGAGACAGCAGAGGTGGCCTTCAGGTCTCAGGGAGATGCTATGTTAGGTGTGCACACCTGTGACCTCTGACACAGCTCCCTGAGCAGGATATAGTAGTAAACTTAACCACATAGGAGACCTCTGTCACCATAGCTACCGAATTCCAAAAGGAGCAGTCTAAATGTCAAACTACAATAACTGGCTAGATTGTCATTTAGTCTTCACTGAACTGCCTGAATCTTCCAACAGCAACCTGCATTCACCATCACCTAAGTTGTGAAGGAGAAGGCTGCAAAGCAAGGGAGAATCTGATGGGAAAATCCTCTCTTCAGCTAGTTAGGGAATTGTTGTGAGTTGTCAAGGAGTCAGCTTTGACTGGTAATGAATAAAACGTTGCTGTCATTGGTGTGTTTGAGTCCGTTGTTGTGGCAATGGTGTCAATCCATCTCATTGAGGGTTTCCCTCATTTTGACTAAGCCCGTGCTTTATCAAACATGACAGCCTTTTCTAATGATCGGTCCCTTCTGACGACGTGTTCAAAGTAAGTGAGCCAGTGTCTCACCATCTTCACATCTAAGGAGCGTAGGTTTCAGTAAAGGGAACAGGAAGGTGGAGGGTCCATGGAGTCCGTCTTCTAATGGGTGTTGTCTTGCCCCACAATACCTGCCCTGCCCTCCTCCTGATAACAAAGCAGAGCTCGTCAGGGTGGCCATCCCTTGTCACTGAGGCAGCACCAGGGCAAAAAGGTTCTTCCCCAGGACATCCATCCTGGGGCTGGGGGAGCTGTGAGGTGGTGGTTCTCTCGCTGCCCCAGCCTGTCTCCCCATTTATATAGGGGTGTTTCAGAGAATAAAACTGGTAAATGGAGAAGAACGGAGAAAAATAGGTAATTCTAGCTGCATTCCAAGCCCTAGGCCCTTCTCATCTCTGAGCCCAGCTTCAGGCCTTTCATGCAGCTCGGTTGCCCAGCTTGTGGTCTGGGTGCCTCCTTGCATTCTTCCATTAAGTCCCCCTTTTCATGTAAGTACTCAGAATTGGGTTTCTGTCATTCCTTGATGCTGCCCCTACCAATAAAAAAGATTCCATGACAAGTTTTCTGAGGCCTTCCAATGGAGGTCCAAAGATGTTTTATGAAATATGCATTAGGATACAGTCCCTTTATTTGCTTACCAACCTTGTCTTTTCTAGACTGTTAACCTTAAGTAAATAAAGCCCTAGTCATGGTTTTCTACTGATGACTAGCTGTGGTAGTTAAGTTTGTGTGTCAGCTTGGCTGGGCCTGGTTGAGTGGCTGGGCAGCTGGAGGTAGTTATTCCTCGTGATGAGACTGGCAATCAGCTTCATGGTGGACTCTGCCACAAGCAGCTGAGTAGCAGAATTAGGGATGTGGTCTGCTTCCCGTTTATAAGGAGAAGCTTTGAGACTGGGCTACAGCTTTTGGCACACGTGGATCCTGCCTGTGGGCAAGTCATCATTCTGCAGCCTGCCGTGCTGTCTGGTGATCTTGGGACTCTTAATGGACTTGAATCAATGGCTTGCCGTGTGGTTTGGTAATAGCGGGACTGTGGCTTTTCACTTGTTGGCCTTGGGTTTGTCAGCCTCAGCAACTGCCTGAGGGAAGAAAAGCCTGCAGCTCCAGTGGTCTGGGTACAAGAGGCAGAGCTGAAGCCCAAGGTCAAGGGGCTTTCACCCAGCCCCCAGAACTGGCACTTTATGAGCTCGGACTTATATCCTCCAAAACTGTAAGAAGATAAACTGCTTGTTAAAGCCACCCATTTGTGGTATTTTCTGTTAGAGCAGCATGAAGTTACTAAAATAAAATACGGTACTGAGAGAGTGGGGTGCTACTTTGACAGATAACTAAAATGTGGAAACAGAAGTGGAGTGTGCCCTTGACTGGAGATCCCTGCACCGAGACGATGGAGCAGCAGAGCTGAGACTGGCACTGGACAGCCTTACCAGTGAGACAGCTGAGTGTCTTCTGGGCTGAAGGATTCCTGGCGGAGTGGATTACCTTCGAGTATTGAAAGGTAGAAGCTGAAAGACCAAGGAGACGGAAAGCAGAGCCGCCTCAGCCTCAAAGGGTAGGACCATGGCCTCGGGGTGGGGGGGACCACCACAGCCCCCATATTTCAGAGTCCTTCACCAACTTGGTTCTGGAGCATGGGGCTGCTCACTCGTGTGGGCCAGTGGGATAGAGCCATAGCTGCTGCCCAAAAGTGAAGGGGCAGGGTTGCCATGCCCAAGTGGTAGAGGAACAGGGCCTGCCAGGCCAAGGGAGAGAGGTCGCCACTCAGATGAACTATAGGACTGGACCCACCCCGTGAAGGAGATCTGTACAGCTGCCAGGTTGATAAGGGGTGTAATTGTGGTAGTTAAGGCTGTGTGTCAACTTGTCTGGGCTTGCTTTGAGTGGCTGGGCAGCTGCATATAGTTATTCCCCATGATGAGACTGGTAATCAACTCCATGGGGGAATCTGCTGTGAGCAGCTTAGTGGCCACTTCAGGGATGTGGTCTGCTTCCTGTATACAAGGAGAAGCTTTGGGAATGTGCTACAGGCCATAAATACAATTCCCGATGAGAAGTTCTGAGTCCATCTAGGAAGTTGCCAACAGTTAAGTGTGATCTTCCCTGGTGAGCACTCACATTTTAGGGGCTTAGTTCTGATCTCACTGCAGAGCAAGGCAGTGTCCTGAGCTCCTGTCAGAGTCAGGTGCTGAAGCCCAGCCCCACACTGCCTCTGCCAGTTCCTTCCCACTTTGACATTCTTTGTTCATATTTAGTCCTAGGTAGATTTGGAACTCATGTAACAAAAGACACAAGAAAGTTGACATGGCATTATGTGTCCACAGCTAACTCGGGGTTGAGGTGGTCCTAGACCACTGGATGGATGTTGGGTTTGGGAACTCTGTGAAGAGTACACAAAATGTTCTATTTCACATGTGTAGCTTTCTGGGGAGAGCATCCACATCTTTCATTAGATGTTCCAAGAAAGGCTAACAGCCTCTGCTGTAATATTTATTCAGCTACTGTGCACAGAGGGCCAGTGTGGTACAGCAGAAAGTCCTCAGACTTGGTCTCAGACAAAAGGAGGCCCAGTTCCCAGCTCCCCTTTGTAGTAGCTGAGGGCCCTGGGGAAGTTTCCTTAAGGCTCTCTGTGAGGCTTATTTTCTGTCTGTAAAATACAGACATTAATGTCTGAGAGAAGCCACTCTGGTGGCATGGGGGGTTAAGTGCTTGGGTGCTAACCCAAAGGTCTGAGGTTTGAATCTACCAGCCAGTCCATGGGCAAAAGATACAGCAGTCTGTTTCTGTAAAGATTGACAGGCTTGGAAACCCACTTGGAAACCCACTCTGTCCTACAGTGTCACTGTGAGTCAGTATTGACTCCCACCACCACCACCAACCTGATGCAGTGAGTTTGTTTTTTGGGTTTTTAAATGTCTGAGAGTAGTGAGCCCCCTCAGTAAAAGCCCTCCACAGTGTTGAGCCCCCAGGCACTGCTGACCTGCTCTTAAAGAGTTTCTCCCTTTCTCCCAACCATCGGCAACTGCCCCAGCTCCTCCTCCTCCCCACTCCAGGCAGTCCCTGGGTTCCAACAAGATCCCTTCCTCACTGTCTTGTAAGAATTTGTCAGACTTTGGAACTGGTTCTGCCCAGTTCATTCATCTGAGGAAGCTTCACCAGAACAGACCTGAATTTTTAAAGTTACAATGAACTGGGAAGATAGCTAGAGGGGTAAAAAATTCCCAGTCAAAGGCTTGCTAGAAACTTAATCTCAACTTCTCACAGAAAACGGGCAGAAGTAAATGGCACATAGCCACCAAAGTTCTCACCCGCAGATTGTGAGCACAGTTTAAAGCAGCGCTGCCCTGCTCAAAAATGGCGGCCAACTGTGCTGCTTTGAATGTGTGTCACTCTCCTAGGTCCTGCCAATAATCCAAATCTCTCCCATCAGATTCCTGAAAGGGCTCACTCAGCCGCTTCTGAGTCTCCCATTCCAGGGCTTCAACCTGTAATTTTGCCCGTTCTGGGTACCATGCATTCCGTGCCTAATGCTGAATCATAAAACTTCAGGTCTGTTGCCGTTTCCCTCCATTGGCCATGGCAGAACTGGCTAATGGGCAAGTAGGAGTTGTCTG